TAAAGGGTTCAAAAGCAGTACTTCATTTAATTTGTGTACTTTTTAAGGCGTTTTATGGTACTTTATGGCCGAAGKTTAACAAGAGGCATTTACCTGGATGGCGCCGTCGTCGGTGCAGTCTGAGCCCACCTCAGTGATGCTCTGCTGAAGGCGGTACAGCTTTGGTTTGTCCCGCGAGTCGGACCCGTCTGCCACAGATTCAGACACAGGTCAGGTCATTATAAAGRAACACATTCTACACAGAAACTGTCACACAAAGTACAGCTGGTGGCCCAAAGTCTATGATTTCAACAACAACGAGTGAAAACTAACAGGTTTGTGGAGGAGTCTGCACAGCTGTTGATTAATAAAGCAAAGTGTTGCATTAGTTTATAGTAGAAAGATCAATAAAACACCAGATACTATGAAAAATAAACCTCATTCCTGCCTCAAAATGTTTCGTTTAAGCTGCAACCAGGAAGTGTTTTTGGATTAACTGGTAGCATTTATAATCTAACTTAGTTTGAAATGTGCAACTTCTACTCCGAGGAAGGAAGCAGAGTTATCACTGCAAATGTCAAACTGTTGATTACGTTTAGTGATATTTAAATATGTTAATTAAAACATCTTATTTATTGTTTACGAGTTAATTAGTAGTAATAAATCTGATTCATTATAAAGCTTTTCTTTTCTGGCAAGGATTTCAAACATCTGGTGAATGAGTAGTTTTATTTCAACTGAAAATCCAAATGCACAAAAAGCAGAAGTGCCCAAAGTGGGGCCCACAGGCCACGTTTGGCCCATCAAGACATTTGATTTGGCCCACCACTTCCACTCACAGTGCTGATTTTATCTTTGAATATATTAGGATTAAACATGTAATAAAAAAAACTACAAGATACAGTACTAGGGATGGCTTGATTTTTGATTGGATCGTCTATTGGTGATTGAAGGGTTGGAATGCGATTTGTTTTTTTTAAAGGGCGATCTTTATTAATTAAATGCTGTGCCAGGGATGTAAAATAAATTTTAAATGTGCCCTTCTCTGTAAATTAAAATGTTTTAATCATCATGATTGTGATCTGTGCAAATGAGGGAATAAAATAATTAATATACAGTGCTGCGTTGGTTTTTTTTTTTCTTTTCTTTTTTTTCTCGGAGTCGGCGCCAACATGCACATCTCCTCCTCACGTCTCTCCTCGTCATCTTCTTGCTTTGGTGCGCCACAAGTGACCCAAATAGTGTTATATTATAACGTTTAGTTACAAAACCAATAATCCATGACAATCATACATTTGAACAAATAACTAACCAGTTCTGAAACGGACCGGAGCGCACCGAAGTGTGTGTGTGTGTGTGTGTGTGTGTGTGTGTGTGTGTGTGTGTGTGTGTGTGTGTGTGTGTGT